TTATTTTCAGGCTAAGCTAAATTCCAAGCTCCACGAAAGCTGTTCCCGGGTCAAGTCAGGGCCTGGTATGCGGCAGGTATCTGATACATTGTTAAGTGAGCAAATACTTTACCAACCAAAGTATATTTTTAATTTTAAAAATTCACTTTTGGATGATGATGGCTGTAATGGTTAAGGCGGAGCGTTGCCTTGACTGGATTTGGGAGCCACTGAGGTACTGAGGGATTACAGTACTGTGTGTCTGGGTGGGTCACGGAGTGTGATCTCGGGCTTTACATCTGGTCCCTCACTCCTCTAGCACTGTTCCCACGCTCCGCTTCCTGGGCAGCAGGAACGAGCAGCTCTCCTGTGCTACACCGTCTCGTGATATTTCTGCTCTGAAGCCATCTCACTGTGGACTGAATCCCCTTAAAATATGAGGCACGTTAAACCTTCCTTGCTGTATGTTGTGGATGTCAGGTACTGTCTGCAGAAGTGGAAAAGCGTATATATTGGCCGATCAAACCAAGGACTCTTCAAAATGACAAGTTTCCTTAAGAACTGTAACATCAAAGAATACTGGTTACTCTGAGCAATTTTGCTTATTTGGCTAACACTGCTCCATTTATTTTCTTTACTGTAGCTCTCATAACTACTAATTTTATTATGTATTTTTGGCTTAAAATCTATCTCCCCATACTACACATGTAAGTCCCTTTAGGTGAATGATTTTGTCTCTTTATTTACTTCTGAATGCACAGCCTTGAATAGTAATCTGAACAGACAATCAAAATGAGTTGTTGAAAGAATGAAGACAAGACAGAACTGAAAGTGATTCAAGCCCTCTCAATTTATAAGGAGGAAATAAATATATATTCTCACCTAGAAAACTTGGACAAAATGTTTTAAGTAAGTGCTTTTGACCATTTGATTATAGATTTCATTAGATATTTCCGTAACTCCAGTTCCCTGAGATTTGAGCAAGCATTTTGCAAACATTTTGCCTTTGGTTTTGTTGCTATTGTTGTTACTTTGCTGCTTGTTTTCCGTTTTGTTCTTATTATTTATTATTTATTTTCTCGAGGCAGGCTCTCCTTGGGTAGCTCAGGCTGTCCTCAGACTCACCACAATCCTCCTGCCTCAGCCTCCCTAATGCTTGGATTATAGGTGTGCACCACCATGCCTGGCATTTTGCTTAGATTTTGATCCCTAAAAAATAAGAATTAAAGGAAATAAACAAACCAATTAAAATTATCTTATCTTTTCAGAGCAAGCCCATCTTGAGAGTTCAGTAATTACCAGCAACTGATTATCATTCAGGGATAAATGAGCACATAAGAGAAAGTAAGAATGGTGGGAGAAAAAAACAGAGGGGCAATTTTTGTGCTGCTTAGGAAAAGACTTCTCTTGTTTTGTCTATTTTTTTTCATAAAAGTGATAAAGTCTAGGGAAATAAAGCACAGTTTATATTATCAGAAGTCAAGGAGAAATTAATAAAATGCAATAGGGAAATTAAGTTGAACAAAAGTGCAATGAGCCATAGTTAAACCAATTAATTAAAGAGATTTTGATATGTATATAACGGGGCTACTGAAGAATTAAAAATAAAAAATAAATCCAAGACTTTAAATCAGTGTTAGGTATTCAACAAAACATCAAACGATGATGCACAGAAAACTTGTACTTTTTAAAGAACTTTCTATGATGAATTCCTTTCATTTTCCTATGAATCATCACCTTTCTCTTCTCTGTTAATCATAAAGAATCTGCTTTCTCAATACTATGCAGAAACCTTAGGAATACTGTGATTCTCTTCTACATTCTTCTTATGCCAATCTCCAAACTATGTAACTTGTTTGCAACATTAACTATGAAAAGATTTATTTTTTTATAGTTTGTCTGCTACATTCCGGAAATCAATGAAGATTCCATTCTTTAGTGTACTAGCAACCTAGTAAGTCTGAAGTACAAAAGGTGAGCTATCAAGACCAAAACCCGGGACTCACCCTGATCTAAGTCGAATTCTAAGCTTATTTCAGAGGCCTGAAATCCTGTACAAATAACTTAGCTCTAATCAACCTCAGTTTTCTCACAGAAAAATTGCTGTTAAATGTAAAGTTCTAGAATTCCTTGGTGCAATATCTGGCTGAGAAATTCCTTAACTTAATGAATGAATTCCTTAACTTGTGAACGTTTTAATTTCTAAAATTGTTTATTTGAAAGTTCCTGCATGTATTTCCACCAAATATATATATTAGAAAAAATGGCTAGTTGCAGAAAAGGTTTCTCGATGAATCTACAAAACCTTCATTTACTAGAACATTTTTTCATGAAGAATTATCACAGTGGGTGTCTTAGTTACTTTTCTTGTCGCTGAGACAAAAATATATGACATCCAAAGTTAAAGGAGGAAAGGTTTGTTTGAGCTCACAGTCTGTAGAGGTTTCAGCTTATTGTGAGCTGGCTCCAAGGCAGGGCAGCACAGGAGAGGGACATAGCACAGAAGAGACAGTCCGTGGCAGGGCAGGCAGAAAACAGCAGCAGTAAGCAGCAGTGAAGCAGCCTCTCTTTCCCTTTTATCCCACCCAGGTTAACAAGGCTTTCGGGTGGTACCACCAACACCCAGGGTGGGACTTCCCATTATCTACACCCAGAACTATGCTAAACCAATTTAGATATCACACAACCTTAATCTCAGTATCCATCCACCTCCAGAAAGCCCCACCTATGAGTGTATGAGACTCTGGGGTACATCTAGATATAACCCATAATAGTGGAACTCTGGCTAGGGGGTTTAAGCGGTGCTGTTTTTTTTCTGGAATTTCGTGTCTTTATCAGGGAAAGTTGCTCATCCTGGGAACCCTTCAACCTCAGACAAATGTAATTAAAATTCCTTCTGTTTGGAACTTAATCATGATTTCACCATCCCCCATTTTTCTGCAGTACTAGATGCATGTTTAGCCCATGGAGATATAATGATAAATCATTCATGGTCTCTGTCTTTAACAAACCTAGAGTCTCTGAAAGGAGACAAATAAACCAGCATCCGCAAGCCCTCTGCTAAATATTAGAGATGGAGGTTTTCCAGGCATGGCAGCACTGAATGTGACCTTGAGGTAGGTTTGAACAAGGGTAATCAGGGTCTTCCACTTCAGTGTTTTGGACAATTTTCATTTCAGAGCTCGATATTCCTTAAATTCAAACATTAAAACACCATCTCTTTAGATTTCTCTTTGCCATATCTAATCAGATTTTAGATAACCTCTAACACTCATGTAGTCTTTATGAAATCTTAGCAAAATATAAATCTAAACTATCAACCTCTAGTTTTATAACAGTTCTTCCCACTCTGGATATAGCACTAAGTTGAAATCTACTTTGAAAAATGCTAAGTTGTCTGCTTGCTTTTTCATTATTTGAAAAATCATTTGCCAAAGGAAACTACTGGAACATGTTAAATTGAAAACAAAACTGAGGTTACCATAAATAATTTTGTTCTAGCCGCAATATTGTAGTGGTTGCCCTAAAGTTAGCAAGTTAAAAATATTTCCCAGGGCTGTGAATATAGCTCAGTTGGAAAACAGATTACTTAGCATGCATGAGGCCCAGGGTTCAATCCCTAAAACCACGAGAAAATGTTTTGCCTAAGGCTTGTTATCAAATAATTGGCATTTTATGTCTTAGCCTTCAGTAACTTTTGATGTATTCCTGAACACACCTTTAGCAGTCAGCTGCTGCAGCCAGTAGAGAATAACACCATGGCTATCCATGGAAGCACACGCATGGTTAAAATTTCAGTATTCAGTTTTCCTCCTAGAGAAGGAAGCTGACTGTTCATAGACTGAACGATCTAGTCGTGGAAGATGGGAAGGGGACTTATTTCAAGACAGACTGTGACTCGACAGGGGACACGGATCCCATTAACATTGGTTACTCTCATATTCTGAACACCTGGGATATAACTGACGTACAAAATAGTTGAACAATTAACATAATACATTTACAAGCCTTCATTTTGTATTTCAAACAAACAAGACCAAAACAATCTTAGGATCTACTTGAGTCATTCCCAAATACTCTAAGGCTGTATGCTTTCCTTTTCAGGGACCAAGAACGTAGTGGCATACGTGCTTCCTCCTGTGTCTTAGCTGAGTTTACATTGATTTCTGTGAGTGTTTGGTAGGACTGTGCTGGATGCCGCTATGGGGACTGGCAACCTACTCTCGCACATCTTTTTTTTGTTTTGCTTTTTTTTTTGAGATAGGGTCTCACTATGTAATTGAGACTGACCTGGAACTCACTATGTAGTCCAGGCTGGTCTCGAACTCACAGCAATCCTCCTGCCTCAGCCTCCCGGGTGCTGGGATGACAGGCGTGCACCACCACGCCTGACTTCTCGCACATCTTTAACTAGACACTGAACAACTGCCTTTTTTACTTATGAAAATCAGTGAGCCTTCTGACACTGAAAATTATGCAGCTTATGTTTCTCATAGCCTAGAGAATGAGATCAAAATCACATGGTGTATTTATGTAAAGGTCAAATAGCGTCAACCTTCCATAAGTGCGATGATCCTGACTAATAACCTTAGGTGTTATATAGGCATTCACTAAGCATGTGGAAGAGATTATTACAGTCTATCCCTGCTGTTCAAAAGATACCACATTCCAAGTTTTCTCTACAGTATAGACCCAAATCATCAATTTAGATTTAGCAACGGTAGCCTATAGCACACATGGAAAGCCCCGTTGAGAATTGCTAATGTATGACAGATAAAGATCTTATTGAATATGAGGATTCTTAGTCATTTTGAGCACTCAGATAATGATCTTATTGAATCTGAGGGTTCCTGGTCATTTTGAGCACTCAAAGAAATACAAAAATTCTATTTCTGAGCATTTTTTATCATTGTGGCCATGAGACAGTGTTAATGTACAGATAATCTACATGCTTGGCATACATTTAAAATCTGAGGCAGTGTATTTTTGCGAATTTTAAACTTGCTTTATTATTATTTTACCTTTGAAGTTTACTACACCAACTGCAGTTGAAGCCAATCTGAGAGGAGACACAGGGGCCACAACTGTTGAACTGGAGACATGCTAGGAAACAGGACAGAGCAGAATCATCAGCACTAATTAACAGCATGGGGGAGAAAAAACCACTCAACCAAAACAAAATCACCATACATCTCTATACACACACCCAGTCAAAATACTCATGCATGCCAAACACAATTATAATTACACACTTACCACAATAATCATCCACATAATTATGGAACAGATCAGATCACCAAACTTTCAAGTCGTATTTCCTACTTAACTATGTGCATATATTAACTTACTAGGTAATGGGGTCATCTCCACAGCTGAAATGTTGGTAATTTTTGACATCTGTAGCTCTACTCGGTGGTACTCATAAATTGTTCTTCTTCGAACATCTACGAAAACAAAAGTAAAAGGAAATTAACTTCCAACAGTTTCCTGTTTAACAAACAGCAGCATTTTGATATCAAAATTTCCCCAAAATGAAGCTAAAGTTTCAAGAAATAAACAGTAATTAAAAGTTTTCACAGTCTAACATTGTCAGAATAATAATGGGATTACTTTGAAGGGTCAGAATAAAATTCTTTAATAATGCAAAAAAACGGGGTCAGTTATTTTATGCAGCATATTAACTACAATTAATCGCACTGTATAACCCTCTACATTGGAAGAGAACAGGTTTTAGGTGGTCTCAGCACAAAGGCAAACAAAGTAAAAATGATATCCAGGTGATTAAGTGGATTGTGTTAATCGCAGTATACACACATCAAATCATTGTGACATGTATCTCACAAATACATAATCTTCACTTGACAGCTATATCTCAGTAAAGCTAGGGGAAGGATAGAACTTTAAATCATTTTAGAATCAGTGTTTCTGTGTATTAATATATCTAAAGAAGGCCAATAATTAGCATTTATATTACATAAAGTAATTTACAATAATTCATTAGCAAATCTATCAAAGTCCCTGAGAAAAAGCCTAGGTGGATTACTTGATAAGAACTTTAATAGCTAGAAATCAGATAAATATGAGCAAGTGTATTGTAAAAATAAAACAAAACAAATCTATTTAAAGTCCCCATTTTAACCCTTCCTAATGAGTGTGTGTGGGTTTGGTGAATGTAAACAGAAAGATAGTGTTATCATCATTTTATTTCTCTCTTGGAATTCTTGCAATATAGTGTTGCATTTTCCAAATAATATGCCTATCAAAAATTGTTTGAGGGACTGACTCTAAGTTATTTAAAGATATCACCACGTCCAGTTTTATTTTGGAGGAAATTTAATTTGCATTGGTCAAAGGACCTTTTGTCTAAACAGCATGCATTCCTCACATATTGCTTTCCAAGTATTTTGCTAAATCATTCAGTTCTCAGAAGCAACACTTTGTCCGAAGATCACCAGGGCTGGAGCTCAGGAGACTTCCTGCTAAAGTTTGGACATAGTCCACATGGTCTTTAATACATTAGTATTCTTTTCATTTCATGTCACACGTTGAAAAAAACCTCAACTAATAACAGAGGCTGGGAGACGTCTGGGAGCTAATTATTGACCATGCATATGGATTGAGAGAGACAGGGGCAATTTTTCTATGCCAGCTCAATTACCTGCTGAACTCCTCCAACTACTGGAAGGAGATGATTTAACAAAACCAAATTAATGAGAATAATTTTTGTTTGATAACCTGCCAATCAATGGCAGCTTCCAAATAGTCATTTCTGTGGTATTTGAGACAGCCCTGTCAAAAACAAGTCATCAGCAAGTTTTTTACTCATTGGTCCCTGCCAAGGCTAAAAAGCTTTCATTTGATTCCAGAAATGTATTTAGTTTAAGTGTCTTCTTCTTTAAAAAAAAAAAAAGCTGAAATAATGTTAAACAAATGTTGAGACTGGGTGGTGGCAATTCAAATTTAACTAGTCTATTCCAACTTCACAAAAACCAAGATTAACTTAACAGCGAGAGGCTTCTCAGTCACTGCAGATCTGCTACTATCATCATGGTTCCAGGGTCTGCTCCAGAGACTTACGTGAAAGTTGTAAAATGTACATTTTAAAATGCACATTTGCAAGGTCATTAAATCTATCACGTTCATTAAATCTCATGTAATTAAATATATTTTCTTCTGAGAGAAAAGGAAATTTTGACTTCATTAAAGGAAATTTGGTGAAATGCAGTAAGCTTTCCCTCATGTTAACCTCAAATGTTTATATGTACACAAAAATCAGTGCTAAATGATTCAGATCTTTGGCACTCATGCAAGGAGGAAAATCCTACACTAGATTTACAAAAAACAAGACTCCCTCTGGAAAAATTCAACTGGAAATATTAACATGCAGGCACGTTTATAAATGTATGAAAGCTGTAGTAGTTAAAAATAGAAATATTCTCAGTATAGCAGGAAAGTGTAAATCAAAACAAATATATGTTATATATCAGGGAAACATAAATTTGAAGGCAACTATGAAGGAAAAAGACACGGAAAATTTAACATTTGAGGTCATAATTTAAAGACAGGATATTTTAAAATAAAAGCTACATAGACAAATTCAGCCCAGAATACTGCTGAGAGCTGTCCCGGCGAGGTTCCTGTGTCTCTTGGAGTAAGGAAACCACAGTGGAGATTTGTAAAGATAAGCTTTTCATTCACTGTTTTAAGAAAGCAATAGTACATTAAGCTGGGCTTCCTTTCCTTCATCCAATTTATCCTATCCTATCAGATGTACAATAAATATACACTGAATGACTGAACGTATAAATGCTGTGAATTTAACAATAAATTAAAGTTCTTTCTGTGACTTTAGGATTTTATATTAGAAATAGCAATTCAAGCTTTATTATACAGATTGAAAGCCAGCCCTGGGTTGGTAAAGAATTGTTTTTCAAGAGTGTGATAACAGATGAAAGTCAATGAGTGAAGGGATGAACGAATTAATTTAGTTAAAGGAAACAGCTTAGTTACAAATTCCTGGAGGAAGCTGTTCCTGTCCAAAGAAACTCTAAGAAAATAGAAACATTCTCAAATATTTCAAAATTGATAATGAGTGATGTCTAATGATCAGAACACCTGAGATTTTTCACTTTGTTTTAAAAGTCAAACCAGGGTCAACCAAATAGCATGTAATAGAAATGTATGAATTAGAACAATAAAATTTCATTTACACTGTCCTTTTTAATTAGAAGTTATTTTATAAATGAAAACTTGATTTCTACTTATTTCTTCTTTTGCGAAGCTGTTCGCGAGCTAATGCACACATGAGAACCTGAGCAACGAATGAAATGGAGCTGTAAAGGAAGCAAAGCTATCTTGGATAGAATGAATAATTTTGAAGGGCTTTCTATTTTCAGGAAAGCTGAGGTAAGACAACACAATTTACTGAAGATTTATGGACTGAGCCAGTCTTAAATGAATGAAGAGACTGATAACCATGATAATAATGAAGAAGGTACAGTTCCTCTGAAAAGGGTTTAACATAGATTCTACGGAATATAGCCAGACAACCAGGTGCAGTGATGCATACCTATAATCCCAGCAGCCTGGGAAGCTGAGGCAGGAGGATTATAATTTAGCAGAACCCTGCCCCAAAATATATTTTTAAAAAATTAAGAAAAGGGCTAAGGATGTAACTCCATGTTGAAGACAATTCCCAGTACCACAAAAAAGTGGGTTTGGCTGCGGGGGGGTATAACTCAGTGTGGTTCTGACTTTAATCTCTGGAAATTAAAAAAAAAATAGTACATAAAACATCATTGATTGGTTATAATTACCACAGTATTTTTTTTTATCACATTTTGACTTTACTTTTTATTATAGTTGGTGAGTAATTACAGTGAATGTGTCCTACCACCAAATCAAAGTTAGAATATTTTTCCTATGAAGAAAACCAATTATAATTATTGTAAATGAAAATTTATTATTTCAAAAATACAATCAAAGGCCGGGGATTTAGCTCAGTGGTGCCGCCACCTGCCTAGCAAGTGCAAGGTCGTGAGTGTGATCCCCGGTACCAAAAAAAAAAAAAAAAAAGTACACTCAAGAACTTACTATTTAAACAAATCTAGCATCTTAATGCCCTTTAAAAGGCAGAGAAAAGGCGGAGAAATAAAAACAATGTCTATGTAAATATGACACTTGGCATGTAGCATTTATTTAATTATGTGTATATGGCCTATTTTCCCATCTAATCTGCGAGCCACTAGTCACATGTGGGTCTTTAATTTAAAATTCATTAAGTCCAATTTAAAATTCAGTTTCTTAGGGTTACTCACTGCAGTGCAAGTGCACAGAGCTACCTGCAGCCAGTGAGGTCTTCTAGAGATTTAGATTCTGAGCATTTTTAGTAGTGCAAAAAGTTCCCCTGGGCAGTACACCTGCCTGTGCTATTATTTCTTTGAGAATCACAGCTAAAGATATTCTCCCATATTAATAAGCAGGACTCTCTGTTTGTTAAGGTTATGACAGTCACGATTTAAATAATTTTGATCAACTTCTTAGAAAAATTGCCACAGTGGCCTGTAAATATATTAAAAAACAATCCACATATGGCCAAGTACATACAAATGTTTCCCCAAGACTTCAGTGAGCCACTAAGAATTTTTAAAATATAGTTTCTCTACAAGTGAACTTCTGATTCTGAAAATGCTATAATGATTATTTTATTGAGCTATAAATAATAACCAACAAGAACATATGCTATAGAGTTAGCATGAACAACATTACTACGCATACAATAGCAGATGCTTACAAGAAAAAGCTTGCTGTTTAAAAAGTACCAACCAGGTAAAGACGACATGGAGTATTCTAAGGGATCAGAAATAGTCATTGTCATAAATTACAGCAAGTTAGATCAGCTAGCACGTAGATGGGTTTTCTATCTCCAGAATTCTTAGTGGGGTGTGGGTGTGGGTGTGTGTGTGTGTGTGTGTGTGTGTGTGTGTGTGTGTGTGTGTGTGTGTGTGTGTATGGTAACCTTCTCACTGTTCAAATGACCTAGCCTTGTGTTTTCAACACAGAAGAACTACATGGCATTTCTTGCCTGAAAGGCTATACTCATTGAACTCAGGGGAGAGGAACAGTGAGGCATATTGTGGCATTCCAGCAGCCTGGGGGTTAAAATGGAAAAGAAAGAAATATAAATAAAAGTGGTATTACTGAGCATAATGCACGCATTCAGGAAGATCTCTGCACACTGTGCAAAAAGGATTGGAAGGGACATAAATTGAGGCTAAGAAAGAATTACTTAGCAGAGCAACTCAACGAAAAATATGGAAATTATAAACGACCTATGAATCTGTGAGGATGTTAATGCTTTCTCATAAAAGACAATTGGAGCAATAGCGAAATGCCATGCTCTCTGCTTATCAAATTTGAAAAGTTTAAAAAATGGTAGTAGTATCTGAAAGCATGTAGAACAATATGATATCTAATGCTGATGGGTTAGTAAACTGACAGGCACATAAAACAGTGTTCATACGCAACATCTCAAGTTCATCTTTTGACAATCGGATATCTGTAAAATTTTAAAATAAGTGTGTTCAGCACTGCTTTACTGTTAATATAAGAAGCAACATATCTGAAGCAAGAGTTTGCTTCCATTAGAAAAAAATGTATATTTTGAGGGGAAAAGAGCCCACAAAAATATATTCACAAGATACCAATTTTAGCACAGGTGCATTTAGTGCATCTGCGATATAAGGAAAAGATTGGATGATAATGAAAGCATTGACTGCTAACTCTTTCTGGTGGATCTGGAGGTAATTTAAAGATTTCTGCTATTTTTCATTCCTCTGAATTAAAGTGCACTGTGCTTCTATTCGTAACAAGTTTATTTTTATGCTCATATTTCTGAGATGAAAAATGAAATTCCTCATATGAAGGTCATTCTTCCGACATATCTAGGGACACTGGAATGGCTGGTTTCTGTGGTTCTCTCTGTTTCTAAAGTTTTACAAATAAGGTTTATGAAAAAACAGAAGGGGGCCAGGGATTTAACTCAGTGGTTCCAATGCCTGATTTGCAAGCACATGGTCCCGAGTTCAATGCCCGGTACCAAAAGAAAGAAAGACACAAACAAACAAACAAAAAACAGAAGGCATTTACAGGCACGAAACCACATATACAAGTCGTACAAGGAGACATTTGTTTATTAGTTTGTTTGTTTGTTTTTTGGTTCCAGGGATTGAACTCAGTAACTTGCTCTTGCGAGGCAGGAGCGGCACCACTGAGCTAAATCTCCAGGCCTCGAGGGGACATTTTAAAACAAGTAAATTCACAGAAAGATTGAGCATTTCAGAGACACCCTGTCAAAGTGGACCCCTTGTGAGCCTGCTAAGATGACGCCTGTCCTCCTCAGAGTCAGAATCATTGTCATACAGTGATACTGACAACGAAGAGGGTGGTGGTCGTGGAGAGACAACAGCTCTAAGTATGAGAACCCTTCACAGTTGTATGTAACTGCATCTTACATACAAAAGGCATGTGAGGTCCTATGACGCCCACTTTGTGTGTAAAGAAGTTACAGAATTAAATAATATGTCCAAAGTATCATGACCAATATTCTCACTACAGTATCCTATATACTGTGCATATTTATAACTAATTTCCTTCTTTTCTTTTCTTTCTTTTTTCTTTTTTTTTTTTATTTTTATTTTTTGAGACAGGGTCTCACTAGGAAGTTGAGACTGACCTGGCACTCACTATTTAGCTCAGGCTGGTCTCAAACTCACAGCGATCCTCCTGCCTCAGCCTCCAGAGTGCTGGGATTACAGATGTGTGCCATTTTCTTTTCGTTTTTAATATAAGGGTTAATTTCACCATAGCCTTTGGAAGGAGTAATTTCTCTTGTAACCTCAGAATTGTTTATCAGTTTTCTAAACAATGACTGAATGCTCTTTGATATTTAAACTATGTATAAGACTAGCTGATCTTTTTTATTTTTGAAAGAAAAAGCCTGATTCAATAGCTATGGTTCAAATTTGGCAGTAAAATCACTTACTCTTTGAAAATCTTTAAAAGCTGAAAAACGAGGAGTTTGGCTGTTGATGCTATGAAGAATGGATGGTGAGAGATCTTATTAACAAATGAAAATTAGTTTTCAGATTATTGAATGCTTTATCAAACTTTCAGCAAATCTGGCAGGAATGAGACAGAAATGGCGGTCTCCTAGGGGAAGAGCTAGAAGGTCTCCCAAGGCTATGGTTCACATTCCCAATTCACTATGACTCGATTACACTGGAATTCTGAATTTAATAACCCATATAACCACATGATTAAAAGAACAGAAAATTGATCTTGTGAGAAGAGGGTCCGATGTAACGCACCTTGAAATACAGAAGAAATGAAATCGCCCACTCCTTAAGGATAAGGATCAGCTGGTCCCAATATCCACTCAGGGAAAGAAAAAAAGGGGTAACAGAAATAAAGTATTTAATTTCCTACAGGACTACTCATAATACTGAGAGTTTCTAAACATGGGAACAGAATTTTGAAAAGGATTTAAATATTTACTTAAGCTCTCACTACACAGATAGGACCCTATTTCTCAGGGAAAAAATACTTCCATAGTGTGTATTATGCTAATCTTGGGTTATCTTCATCTGTGTCATGAATAAGTATACCTCTTTTCAGCTGAGAATCTAATGGAATCTTATTTCTCTTCTTACACAGAAGCTCATGTAACAAACACTGCTGCACTTTATTAAGTGAGAACAGATTTTTTAAGGAGATTAAAATTTTCTGTTCCCCAAAATGAATTTTAAGGAGAATGCATTGATTTCAGTTTGATTCCTCCAATATGGTCTCATCTAACTGCAGAGACGGAGGCAATAGAGACTCCCCACTTCTGTTGCTTCCAGGCTAATTTTCTCCGGATTGAATAGCAAGGTCAACAAGACATGTGAATGCACACTAAGTCCTCCACTTGCCTGAGCAAATTTTCCCTCTGAACTCTGTTTGAGGATTGTTTTTAAGGTGAATGCCGAGTTCCAAGCTTCAGACAAAATCTACTCTCTAAATGCATAAGGATTTTGCCAATTTATTTAGTGAAATTGATATCGTGAAGGGTATTTGCCCCCTAAACCTAAGCATTTACTCTTTTACAGCATAACAAGGGTTCTAAAATTACATCTAGGGACCCTGAACTCTTTGCAAGGCCTGATTATGCAGAACATACTGACACAAAATTTGCATACTGAAATGCACATATAGAATAATTCTTTATAGTTTTATGTGTCTTTTTCTCTAAACAATGATGCACTAGAGCATCAGCGTGCACCAAAATGAACTTTTGAGCAAGGTGCAAATAAAATTCTTCCAGGGATGCAAAGAGCCAACAAATAAATGCAAACGGGTTTCCTTTCACTTGTACAATAATTGACTCAGGCCATGCTTGATTTAACACCTCTGAAAGGGAGAAAGTGAGAACGCTCCTCCTCTAGCAGAAGCAAACCTCGGCCCTCCCAGAGCTCAGCCTCTTATTTAAGAGTTCTGTCAGGGCGCTTTTATGTTGCCTACACATACTGATATATCCTTGCTTTGTTCTTGGTACAATTTAGTTGCTGGAAAATCTACTTTGACTTAACAATTGCCTTTAATATTACCTCCCACAGACTCACAGCTAAGAAGAAGAGACCCATTCCAGGATACGCGGTCTTCCCCAAATAGGATCGCCCTATACACATGACATTCTCAGGGAGGAGAGCCCCTCTAACAATTTCAGTCAGTCTACTCCTCTGAAAACTCTAGTTTCCACTGCATTTAATTTTCTGCCTTTGAGAGAAGTCATAATTAGACAGAATCAGCTCAAGACGAGAACAAGTACATACACATGAAAGAAAAGAAAAAGAACTTTGAACAAACAGGAAAGAAGCGATCTGATCTTTGGATGCATTTTATTATTATTCCTTGCTTTAAATAAACACACACACTCGACACAAACAAGTACCTCCCATAGCAAATCCTTAATGCCTTCTTTAGGAATATTCTGGAAGTAAAAAGGATTTTTAAAAACCAGAAGCTTTCAAAAGATGGATGTTTGCATGGTCGGAACTACTACAAAATGCAGTATATATTGTGGTTTTGCTTTCTGTGTGTGTGTGTGTGTGTGTGTGTGTGTGTGTGTGTGTGAAGGACGAGCTCATGGCTTCCCAAATGCTTCACCAGGGAGCTTTACACTCCACAACATTTTTATTTTCTGCTATGATGAACAATTGCCCAAAGCCCTACATGTTTTCCTGCAAAATATAAGCTAAATTAGGTAAAAATGATTTAAACAACAAAAAAGGAGAAACAGATGTCCTCTCTGGTAGGCATCACTTTACTTACATTTTTATTTAACTGAATTTATAATTTGTCGTTCACCTTCCTTTAAACACCCAAATATTTTTTACAGAAGTGTTCACTATCAAAAGCCATTCCTCTGATAGACAATAAAAATAAGTAAACAAGTACATAAAGTCATGTGCCTATCAGCCAAATACTCTGTCACTGTGTCAAATTCCTCATGTTAATACCATAATTATCTCTGCTCAACCAAGGCAATTATTCCAAAGAACCCCAAATTACACATTTTGGTCTAGGCTCCTTAATTTCCCTGTACCCAAGATTCCTGTAATGGAAGAGAGCCCATCCCAATAGGAATTATAACCCAAACAGTAAAATTAATAAGCAGCAATTACCTAAGTGGTTCTTTTTAAAATTACACCTGCCTGAAGCCAATGTCCTTGGAATGTACCCCCACAGAAAGCTCACACTTTGTAATTACCCTTCTTCTACATACTGGGAATTTGTTGGATCCTGTGGACAACGACAAATGCATCAGACAGCCCCACTTTCACTGGATGATTGGTGGAACTTATCTCTGTGACCAAGACAGGAATCTGGAAAAAAAAAAAAAAAAAGTAAGTTGCTAGAGGTTAGATTTGAATCTCACTCAGGGATGGGAAGTGTGATCAGCCTGCTTAATGAACAAAATCAGGTGATGGAGATGAGGGACAAGAGAGGGAGGAAGAAGCATCATAGAAAACAGTCACAGTTATCTCAAAATAACATTACTCACATGCTACTTTTGAGTTGAAGACATAAGAGAGTGCAAGGTCCTAGAGGTGGCTACTTGATATGAAAAGCAATGAATTCCCAGAGTGCCTCAGTGGTGCAGATGCTGCCAGCTCACACAGGGACACCATGGAAGCCCTGAAGCTGGCTGTTTGTGGCATAGGGATTCTCCTCTTACCATTTGTTTTCCTAGAAAACTTTATCATATTTATTTTCGTAAAGTTAAAAAAAACTTGTTTAAGCCTTGCAGGCTTAAAGATATAAAACTTAGAAAAAACAAGTCATGCACTATGAAGTAGATGTTTAATTATACTACCACTGACTAACATGTAATGTTAGTCAAATAGGGTTGATTTTATATGTAGTTAAGTTATGGAATTGTTCGTGCCTGTTTAGCTTCAGCATTGTTGGTGAAACACAGGGAAAAGTCATGCAGTGTTAGGGGACGTCTCAAAGTTGTATCTCTTAAATTTGAATTGTAAGAAAAAGAACCTGAATGCAGCAGATACTTGTAATATCCGCACCTTAAAATACTCAGGACACCTTGAGAATGTAGACAAAATGGGGCAAGAGATATGAATGAGACAATCACTTGGACATTTTTTTCCATTAAGTTTATGGGTACACTTAAGTAAATGATGGAGTTACATTCATCATTGGCAACTTGTACCTTTGCATGATGCTATCTTGTCTCTTATTTTTTCCCCTACCACTGCCCTCCCTTCACCCCCTCCACCTTTCCCTATTTACAAAGACTTTCTTTCCATTTTTTTCTTTTCTCATATTTTTTTCCCTTATTTCCTTTCCCCTACACCTACGACTTCTCCCACACATTTAGACCTTTTCTTCCTATTTCACATTGTCAATTATATCATTTGAACCTTATTTACACTTTTAATTTTTCACACCAGAGAAGCTATTTGATATTTATACATGTGTATCCTATTTATTTCACCAGAGTATGGCCTCAATGCGCATCCATTTTCCTATAAATGACTCTGATTTCTCATTCTTCATGGCTGAGTAGTACTCCATTTTATAGAAAAACCACATCTCTTTATCTAGTCTCCAGTTGATGGGCAATTGAGCTGTTTCCAAAAATTAACTATTACAAACTGTGCCATTATAAACAATGGTGCACATGTATCACTATGGAATGGTTCTTTTAATTCTTTTGGAAAGATACCTAGCAGAGGAATAGCTGGGTCAAATGGAAACTTTAATGCTAGTTGTTTGAGGTATCTCCATATTGATTTCCACAGTGGTTGCACCAGTCTGCACTCCCACCAATGGAGAAGGTTTGCTTTCTCCCTGCAGCCCTGCCAGCATTGTTATTGGTTGATTTCTTGATAGCAGCCATTCTTTCTTGGGTAAGGTGGAATCACAGTGTTGTTTTCATCTGCATCTCACGAATGACCAGCGATGTTGAACATGTGGGTATGAGGATATTTATTTGCTTCTTTAACTTGTTTGTCTGAGAAATGTCTGTTCATATCAGATCCCTATTTTTGAATCAGGTTTGGGGGCCTGATTTTTTTGAGTTCTTTATGTATTCAAGATAGTAGTCCTTTGTCTGAGGAGCAGCTGGTAAAATTTTTTCCCACAATGTAGGCTGTCTCTTAGCTCTGTTGGTGGTTTCTTTTGCACTGCGAAAACTTTTTAATACAGTGAGATCCCAGTTGTTGATACTTTGTGCTAGTTCCCATGCTATCAAGGATTTGTTCATTAAGTCTTTTCCTATGCCAATAATCTTGAGAGTTCTGCCTAACTTATCTTCCAGCAAATTTAGTGTTTCTGTTTTAATATTTAGATCTTTAATCCACTTGGATTTTAGTTTATGGTGAAAGACAAGGTTCTAATTTTAATCTTTGGCAGGCTGAGATCCAATTTTTCTAACACCATTTATTAAAGAGGCTCTCTTTCCTCCAGTCAGGATGGTCAGCTCCTTTGTCAAAGATGAGGTAGGTGAGTATGTCTGGAGTTGTTTTTGCATCTTCTAATCTATTCCACTGATCCTCAGGTCTGTTTCTTTGCCAGGACCATGCATTAGAAATTAATGCATGCCTTTCTCTGGCTCTCTACGTCTGTCTCTGTGTTCTGACTGCCATAAAGTAATCGGCTCTCCTCCACCATGACACTTCTGCCTTCCCACAGCCCTAAGAGCAATGCAGCCCACTGACCAGAGTGCAACCACTGAAACTGTGAGCCAAAATCAACCTGTCCTGTGAGTTGATATTCTCAGGTATTTGGTCATCGCAGTGAAAAGCTGATTGACACAGTGTGTGTGTGTGTGTGTGTGTGTGTGTGTGTGTGTGTATAAAAAAACAGTTTAGAATTGATGTCCCTACAAAGCTTCATGCAGTCACAGGCTGGATCTAGACTATGTGACACTGGGATGGGTGCGATGCTAGGAACAAGGGCACGAGGATTGAGGTGTGAGTGCTACCCGCCCTAAGTAGTCTGGATAAGACACAAGGGATAGAAGGAGCTGTAGCTGTTCCTTGGGGCTTGCTATCCTCTGCCTGCCAAGAACTGTTCTCCTCTGCCACACCACCCTGCCTTGGAGCCAGCCAATTATGGACTGAAACCTCTACAAAATGTGAGCTAAATAAATCTTTCTCCCTGTAACTTTAGGTGTTGGGTATTTTGTCTCAGCAATGAGAGAAAAGCAACTAATCATAAAAATAAAGAATCACAGTCAGTATCGATAAAATTAGCACAAGAGCGGGATCTGTCATGTCGTCATGATCGTCTGTCCCACAGAAGACTGTGGGTATGAGGATATGAGTACACAAGTCAATGTAGCTGTGGCCACAGGAGAGTTAAAGTACTAACAAGCTAAAAATTTTGATTTTGAAAAGTCATTTTTTAATCCCTCAACACATACACTTATAGGCACCCTCAAAATTTTTTCTGTGTCATTCAAATTGGCAATATCAGGAACTACAGAAGCTTTTTTAAAAAAATGTATCTTTGTTATAGTCAAGTACCTATAATAGTTGAGCTTTGAGTTGAACACAAAGTTAAATTTTTAACTGAGCCTCTGTATGATTTCAATGATATATTTTGAAGAATTTGTTTTACAATTACATTTGTTCCCCAGGACAGGTGGGAAAAGAGCACTAACAGCATCAAGATAGGCTTCCATTTGGCTTACACAGGATTTCATAAATTCTTTAACTAACAGATCTTTTAATTTTTGTTCCATTTTACAAGTTTAAATTTACTATTTAGGTATAAACTTTTCTTCAAATGATATATTGAGGCCAATTAAGCATACATAGAAGCAGGAAAGGCTTGCAACAGCTAGACAAAATTAAGGCAAGAAAAGATAATTTGGATTTAGCAAGAGTAGGGCAGAGTCCTTTGGCCTCTGGATGAAGTGTCAAAGACAAACCCTGCTCTAGCTTCACACTGTAGGATCATTCTCTAGGACACAGGGGCCGAGCACAGTCCCTAAGCATTTTTGTCTGCCTCTCAGACAGGGAGATAACAGCATGGTACTTGGACCAGAGGTAATGGAATTTTATTCTCTGCTTTGCTCTGCCCTGCAAATCTCACCAAAACATTCATTTGTTTCCATTATGGGTCCTGCTATCAGTCTAATAGGCATCAAAGTATCTCAGCAAGAGCTTGATTGTATGGTATGTGTTCCCAAGCTTCAATCACTCGCATATCAAGACTTAACTGGAAAAGAATGACTCCAAACGCATTTTTGTTCACTTGCTAATCAGCAATACTGTGTGCAGTCACTTAATACTAAAACAACAACAAAAAAAAAACACACTAAAGCCCACTCTTCCCTTACTTTACCCACTCATATCTGGAAACTTCCCACCTTATCTTCCTTAATGTCCGATCTGACTTTTGCATGACTCAGTCGGGAATCTAGCATTCTAATATATCTAATAATAATCAAATATTAAAAAGTCAAGCTCCCTTATTATTAAAACCACAACAACACAAAGTAAAACATACTAGTGCCAAGTTGCTTGAAAACTGTATTGGAATAGGTTTCAGCTCAATGTATCAAATTTTTATTTGATTTCCTGAATATTGTTAATGATCCACAGAAATATTTTAATTTGTTTTTTAGTTTACAGCTATTGAACTTTTTCATGTGCCAGGTATTGAACAATACATTTAACCATGTGGAAGCAGAGATGAGCCATAATCCAAAGATAAATTACACTATCCCTCCCACTTCCAACTCCATAATCACATGCCATAGAAAATCTGAAAGGAGACAAATAAAAACATGAAACTGATAAAGTCAGCCTCTTTATTCAAAGAAGGAGTAGAGTATAAAAGAAGAAACTGTTGAGGGAGAAATGGATGAACACATTCTGAATACATTTTCTGGCCAATTTTTTTCCTGTGGAAATCAACACCAAATGCTTTCAGGCTTCCGATGTTTTAAGAAAAGAAGTGGAGCCCTTCAACCCAGTGATGCAGAGGAGCCTATGGCCTGCGCTACACTCCTGTAGCCATACCCCTTTGATCCGGTGACACAGAGGAGCCCAGTCATGCTGGCGCGAATACAGAGGTGTTCATGCCACCCCCACCCCAACCATGTGAACAAGAGAAAGAAGGCCTCTCAGGCTCCTGTGGTAAAGGCACACCACACCACCATAGTTGGTAAATCGGAGGGACCAGCACCTCACATTGGAACTTGATCTAACTTCAGGGAAAAGACCTCTGGAACCTGCACCAGAACCTTGTGGAGTTCAACCCAGCAGGAGGACAGAGATCTCAACTTGGGCCTTGCAGCCAGAAATCAGCCTGAACCTCAGGGAACAGCTGGTAGCTTGCTGAGAGTAATTAG